AGGCAAAGGGGAAGGAAAGGAAGAAGCAGCAATGAATGAAGAGATGAGCATTACTAATGATAAGAAAAAAAACGTATTGGTGAAAAGGTGCAAAGGTAGGTGTAGGTTGTGACAATGTATGGGAAGGTTGCTGGGACCTGCATGTCTATCCTAGAGCATGCTGATGTAAACTGGTCAACAAAATTATGATAGAAACTAGAGGCCTGATGCACAAAATTCGTGCAAGAGTAGGCCTTCTTTCCCCGGACACCCAGGCTTCCCTCTAACTGCCGGCAGGCACCCAGGACCTGGGCTTCCCTTGCAGCCCCAGCTTTGCATGAAAGGAAGGAAGGATATCTAGAAGAATGTCTGGTCTAGTTAGCATATTATGCTTTTATTATTATAGATGAAGTGCCTCACGTGAATGGGCAAAGAGGAGTATATCATTCCACGTGCCTTTGGATTTTCCATTTATTTAATTTGAATAAAAAAAAGTTCCATTCATCAGTTTTGTGGTGTTTTCCAGCGTGGTGCATAAAACCTATGGTTTAAACATAATGTGTCTGATGGATTTCTGCTTTGAAATGTAGTAAAAACTTCAATAATTTGGAATTAGGTAGGCTTGAGGTGAATTGCTTATTGTAATTAGTGAAAGTTAAAAAATTTAAAGAAATGATTTGTACTGTACTAGATTCTGGAGGCAGTGACAACCAGTCTAATAAAACTGGTCACTTCAAGGTCTGGGAGCCTGTATTTATCAATGGTTAGGGCAGAATGATTGTCCTAAGTATATCTTGCTTTTAAATGGTGGGGATGAGCAGCACTGCTAAAGTAGTTCAAAGGCGTTTGGAAGCGGTTTACACTTTTGCGTTGGTCAAGCAGCATGCCCCATGCCGTTTTATGTTCACTGGTTTCTCCGGAAGGCGGTAGAATAGGCACAGACCTTTTTGACCTCATTTAGAGCCATGATGGGAAGGCCCCTTCTGTTATCCTCTTTCTTCTTCCTACTGTCTAATACACCTCTGTTAGGGCTTTTGTTGCTATGTATTCCAGGGCTCTAACTTCCTGAGCCTCCGCTAAAATCATTTCCCTGGAATTAACCATGGACACGTAGTACAAAATCACTAGTGGAACAGAAAAAAAATGGGAAATTTTTTTTTTTTTTTTTTTTTTAGGAAAGAAGAGATTCCTTTTGGAGCAGAAGCCCTCCCCTGGTAAGGCAGAGCTGGGGAGGTGCTAAGAATGGTAATTGTGAGTAGCCAGGGGCTGGGGCATTTGGGCACTGCCTGGCCACCACTTCCTGTCACTTGCTGAACAAACCCTTTTATTATAGTTAACGCGAAGCCCACACGCACTGGTATCTGAGTTTTGATATATCAAACAAACAAAAAATAAATAAAATCAATGGCAAGTTATTTTTTTAATAAAATCCCCCAAAATATTTTCAAGCCTCTTTCTCTCCCAAATTACCAATGATGTCTTCAGCCACATTGTAAAAATATAATCTTTGTATTTAAACCCCAAATTTGTGTATAGTCAGTTTGGTTGACTGGGACCAGTCAGGTCTGAACCCGCCAGTTAGTTCTAGAGAAAGACAATCACATTAGTTGTTTATAGACATCTTTTTAATGTTTTACTTTGAAACAAATAATCCCAGTAAAAGAGAGCAAAGGAAATTACATTTTAATGGTAGCTTGAAATGGATTTGGTATTCCTGATTTGTTTGTTTTCAGGAAACAGACAATTGCATTGCCGTACATGACTTTAGAACTGCTCACGTAAATGCACGTACTTGTATTAAATTAAGTTTCTCTTACAAAAACACAACCAAGTCATTTTAAGGCAAAAAAAAAAAAATCAGTTTCTGGGGAGATAAGGGACTATTTTGGTATTTTCGGAAGTGACCCATTAATTTAGTTGCTCGTGTGTCCATATTCCTTACAGATTGGCTCTGCAAATGGGCAAGAGAATTAGTCACTGTGCCTGGTGTCCTCTCTGTTAGACTTGTTTTACCTGCGGATCAAGAACTTTCAGAATCACGGAGTCAACGCGAGGTGAGAAAGGCACACTTGAGCAGGAGATAATGACTAAAAAACTCAATGAAGTGTCTTCCTTTAAACAAAACTTGCAATCTACATATATTAATTTAGTTGAACATAATGCAGACATTTAGATCAGACACAGAACATCTTTTAGTTAACCTCATACGAGGGATGTTTGCAATAAAGTATAAGCTTGATCAGCCCTGCATGTTGAAGAAGGCAGACAGACTGGAGCTGAGAAAGCATGTGGTTACTCAGTGCTCAGCAGAACTGTGCTTCTAGACACCATTTGGGCTTGGCCAATGGGACTCTGCTAGGTATAAATGGGAGACCCCTCCGAACTCCCCAGAGAGACACACAACGGACAGACCCTACATTTTCCACACAACTATCTTTGAACATCCAAAAAAAATTTTTTTTTGTGCTAGAGTTAAGATAGACACAATATGGTCATGGCTTCAATGTATAAAAGTTTCTCACAACATGGTTCATTGCATTTTGCTAGGATTAAGACCTCAATAATGTTTGTAGGTTTTATTTCTGAATCCTCTATCTTCAGCGATTGCTGGATGAACTGTGCTGTGTTTGAAGCCCCAAAAGAAGCCCAAGGAGGGGTCCCCAATACATTCAGAATTCCTGCTGCCAGTGGGGTTTGACTCAGGACAGAGTCTGTCCAGGAATCAGTGCTACCTGAAAGTTGCTGCCTCCTCTCTCTTCCTCTGAGTGTATGGAGATGTCTGGCTTTAGGTCAGTGGAGGGGTATGTGTGCATGCGCATGTGCCTGTGTGCACGTGTATTTGTGTGTGTGCAACCTCCTCCAGAGGGTGTATCACAACTTCAGGTTGAGTAGAGACATGGATAGATGAACAATTGCATTGGATAATTGGCTAAGATGTTTCAAAAATGAAAATAATTCCTTTAAAAGTTTGGCAAAACCCTTTTAGCTGGAGTGTAAAATTAGACTCTACCTTCGGTGTGTCTCCAGGGGCCGAGAAGATTCTGAACGATACACTCCAGGGGAATGTGCTAGAACTCGGGCGGGCGAGAAGAGGAAGGTTTCAAAATGTCGGTGTCTACCAACAGGGACAAGGACTTTAGAAGGTTGGGGAGCACATTGTACGGAGAGTAGAGACGTGGTTTCTTTGGGGTTGGAGGCTGGGTAAGGCCTAGTGAAATTTAGAAGCAAAACAGTGGCCGAGAATTGACAAGCAGTTAATGGAGAAGAAAAGTAAGGAGAGAGTCAGGGGTGGAGAAAGCAGGTTGTGAGAGAACTTGGAAGGGCCAGGGGATTTCAGGACTTCCTCCTGCCTTTGGCTATCCAGTCGCTATCCCTGCTCATTTTTCGAGTTGCTAGAGTTTTTCAGCAGGGGGTTTGGGGTGCGATGGGGTTGGGAGGGGAGACCTTTAAAAACGTCCTTTGTGGCTGGAGTTGACGTGAATTGAATGCTCTCTTGCTTCTCCTTGCCTTTCGAAGGCCATTCCCTTGGCTGAAGTTCTGTGGGTCTGAGCTCGGTAGACTGGTTTCTAACAAGCTGTCAGCATTGCTTGCTTTCCGGTAAATACACGTTTCATTTTATTTCTCTTGGGCTTTTTGTGGTCCTGTCACATGATGAAGTATTTTGATTTGCAGACCCTGCCAGTACTACCTGGCTTTTCTAACTGTTAGTGCTTATACTAGGAAATGGAGCCAATCATTTCAGATTTGGGACAACATTCTTGGGGACAATGGAAAATATTCACTATGGTATAAGAAGGAAAGGAGGTTTCATTTCAGCCTTTCATAGGTAAAAGATACTACATAATGGCAAAACACATTCAGGGCATATAAAAAATAAATACCTTGCAAAACTTCTCTGTTTATATATAAGATGTTTAGGTAGTTGAATTTCTTAGTAGTACTCATTTTCTTAAAAAAAAAAAATTGAGTTCTTTTATTTTGGTTTGTTTTGCTCCCTCTCTCTGCCCTTGGAGGGGACGTCACTTTCTTGAACTTCCCTGTTGTGTCTGGGTTCTCAGGCCTGCCCCATCACCGTCTCCCGCCCATGTCTCAGTCCCTGGGACCCTGCCTGTGAACCAGCTTAGCGGGAGCGGCTTCTCACACCTCCCCTTTCTGTGGGCAGCGTCGGCAAGGCTGGGCAGGCGCCACTGCAGAGAGCTCAGCCCAGCCACACTGGCCATCCTACTGATCAGCATTTCCGTCGTGTGGGTAGAAGATGACAAACGTATAAAGTTGATTCCCGCCATTAGAGGAATATGTTTCCATAACGTCAGCTGTGTCAAACACTCAGTCTGTTTGCCCCACTGGCCCTGAATTCCATGATTTGTACATTTTTCCAATCGAAGAACATTCTCATCATAAAGACAACATGAAAATGATGTGCAAAATTGCTTGCCACAGCAGTCAATCACCGAAAGCACACATACTGACATTCAAATGACATGAATAATAATATGACTGACTAAGGAATGGGTTGGCAACTATAGATCTTGAAAGAAGCAGCCATTTCTACTGTTCCCGAATTCTGCTTTACTTGGTACCTTGTTAGCAGCTGTGGACGAGTGCCATTACGTTTAAATGTACATGATGGACTAATTTGGAAAATATAGTTTGCATTTAATCGCAAAGCAGAAATGGCTGAAATTTGAAGGTGTTTCCTCCCAATAATTTCAAAACAGAGAGTCAGAATCTTCTAAATGACCTAATTTTCATACACCCCTCAGCGCTAGCAGTGCTTGGTTTCTCAGGATTATTAACTCAAGGTACGTTACTAAATGAGCGGGTTAATGCTGATGTACCTCGGAATTTCAGCCATCCCTAAACATGCATTTTCATGCAATTAGAAGATAATGGGCTTATCCACTGCCTTTCGTGTTCTTCCTGATTCTTGCAGACTCAACGTTAGGAGGGCTTTCAAAATAGTTCATGCAATGATATGTATGGCTAAAGGAACCACTATGCCTAGAAAGGAGAAGACGGACTTATTTCAGTTTGACGTGAGGCAGGCTGAGGGCATCTGTACTCTCTCCGGCCTTACAAATGCTCTGAGATGATCGAGATCTTCCAGTCCTCAGTGAGTCTGACACAAAAGCAGTTTCCCTGGCAGGCTGCTGCGGCGTGGCGTCAAAAGTGTCTGTCTCCGTCTCTTCCGAACCTACCTCTTCATCAGTTATAAACAATTTGGATTCCCTCCATTTGGGGTAAAAATCTTGGCTGCCTCTGGAGCCACTTGACTCACTCCCTGAAAGCTGGATATTCAGCTCCTCTGTGGACCTGATCAGGTTTTGTACAGACAGAGATTTGCCCAGGTCCTTGGGCGCCACCGGGTGGACGGACAACAGAGTTTCTCCTCCCAGGTCAAAGCTCTTCCTCAGGGAACGGTCCTTGGTCAGAGTTGACTGTGCAACCTGAACGTTTTCCTTGGAGGCAACAAGGCAGGCGGTGACATCAGGGATGCTCTCCTGTAAGCCCGTGGGGTTCGGGTGCAGGGTCTCTGGTCTGGGCGGGTGCTTGATGGCCGGGAGAGGAGGCGGGATCTGTAAAGTGGTCGGGGCTGCTGGCTTCGGGGCCGCGGTTATTTGGTTTGCAATGCTGTTGGTGGCCGCCACCGAGGAGCCGTCGCTTTGACTCAGCGGCACCTGTGTTGCTTGGCTGTGCATAGTGGGGCTGAGCGCGTAGAAAGTCTGAGCACTGAACTCATTGGGCGTCAGGATGAACTGCAGGCCTCGGGAGATGTTGGCACTGGCCGACCTGGTGAGGCAGCCGCTGTTCTGGGCAGAGCTGGACAGGTCCTTGCTGTCCCCGGGGCTTTGATAGTCAGATGTCTGTTCACATTCAAACGGTGGGATCTGGAACGAGGCCAGGGTGAGGGCTGAGGCGGAGCCTTTCCGGAGGAGCTGCTGATAGATGTCCAGCAGGCAGTCCAGCTTGGACTCAATGGACTGTACCTGAAAACGGGGGGAATGGTGACAGATGAGTATAGCTGTTACTAAGAAAGGGCTCCACCTTTAGAATTTAAAAAACAACAACAAAAACCAAAAAACAAAACAAAAAAAAAACCATTGTGTGCCAATACAGTAAAATATAGTTTAAGGATAATGCAGACCTGATATTTATTGCTATTTAATTTAATTAAATTTTTTTTTTATTTAGTACCATTTTAGAACGTCATGTCTAGCAGTGCTGAGGCCAAGGGAAGACTTAGGTGGAGGATGCTCTGGTCTCTTCGTAATCGTCGGTACCCCTCTCCCTCAGTTCTTTAAAGCCGATAATTGATACTCCCCAACCCATATAGTCCCTGTATAAATGCAACTTCAAGATTGCCCAGCCCAATCATGTTGCCTTTCCCAAGCCTCTTCTGTGAAAACATTCTGGAACTCTTCTGCAGTATAGTAAGGAACTTATTCTATAATAAAATTAAGACCTTAAACAGCAATCTAGGTGATTCTGAATTGAAAAATAAAGACACCGAATGCTTCAGAATTAATACCTGAAATATTTATAATTAAATTGGGGTAGCAATTTGATTTCAGTAAAATGGTCTTTTTAGTGATAATTATTATTTTCTTTCTTTCTTTCTTTCTTTCTTTTTTTTTTTTTTTTTTCAGAGTGGCCTAAATGAGAGACAATAAGAATAACCAAAACACAAATAAAAATTAGATACTTTTTAAAATCTCAGTGTTAAAAATCTACAATTGCTTCCTGGGTGATGAGGTGAGATTTTTCTATTCCTTATATGGAAGTCCAAGGGTTTAGAGAATTCTGTCTATGCACTAGGAAATTTCACTTCATTTGCTCTTTCTTGATTTTATTTCTTGATTTACCTTTCAAAATATGTTAATCACTAAAATACATCCAATTGCCAAATCCAGTTTTGATTAAAAAAATTCTGGCTAAGATTTTAACCAATATCATTCAGTTGTACCTGTTTTTCAACCTTGACCACCCGGCCGAGCATACTGAGGTCATCTGTGGTTTCATGTTCTGCTGGTATTTTTTCTCGGCTCTTCTTATCTGATGTGATTTGCCCTTTTCCAAGAATTTGATCAACACTAGCAGAGAAAGAGGACATCTGATTATGAGTACTGAAAATGGAGGTTGCCCTAGGCCAGAATGAAGTGTTTTGAGAAGAAAAATTCAATACAATTATCTTTTCTTTATGTAAGGCGAAATAAAAATGAACTTGTTCCAGTTGATGTGCTTTATTTTCTTAACATGAGAATTACACAAAAGATTAATTTTCTTATTACTGTAGTCCATAATGAAATCACTTAAGGGTGATCTTCTGGAGGCAAAATTGCCTTAAACTACAAATCACAGAGCAACCTAAACGAGGTCACTTGTCTGTTTCCACCTTTGATCAAGTATTTCCAAAATTAACTACTTAAATAATAACAAAACCATAATTATGATGACTTCACATAAATAAATTACTCAATGAACATTTATTATTCATATGATATGTGAAAGATAAGCAGATAAAAAAGCTATTGGAATTCTAGTTGAAAATTATACTCTACATGAGCTAGACACTCTAGATTAATTCTGAAAATTTGGTAGCAGTTCAATTTGATAAAAAAACAACAACACCCTTTAAGAGTCACAGATAGTTCTATTAAAGGACTAGGCAAAGATTGTCACATGACCACAGGATGAGTTAAAACCATTTCCAAGGAGACTTGATCAGCCTAACTGGGAACTGCAGTACTTTCTTACTTTGTATGTTTTAGAACTGAATTCCCAGGAGGACCGTCTCAACTTCCCGGTTTACTTTGTCTGCATAGAAATACAGGCAGCGCCTACCTTCTGTCACGGCACCTAATCTATTAAACTCTAAGCTCAAAAGAATGGGGTCATTATTTTATTAATATCTGGATGCCCACAGCATGTGGCACAAATTACACGCTCAATAATTATCTGCTAAAAGAATGAATGAACAAGTTGTAAATTCCTTTTGTTTTTGGAACTGATCAACAGGTGTTTTACTAAGGGTCTAGTTTAAATCCCTTACCCTGGGCTAAGTGCACTGTGGGCATATAAGCCAATGTTTCAGACTCAGTCCTTGTAGTTTAAGACTAATCACAAATGCTGGTAATTTGTGCCTAAGAGTGAAGCAAAATCCTTAAAAAACGGAATTGACTAAATATTCTGCCTTCCAGATAACACAATTAAACACATAGTTGGTATAACATGTTGAACTAATTTCTTTTAATCACTCAATAAGATGCTCGCTGGAAAAACAGTGTGTATCTAGTATTTATAGGACATGAAGAAAGGGAAGGGCCCAGTCTTAGTCACAAGAACGGACTTGCAACCACAAAACAGTACAAGAGCCAGTCAGTCATTCTTCAGTCTGGACTCTGGCATAGTATACTGAGATCCCGAGTACTTTTATTCCTGTAGTGGGCTTTAGTTTTTTTGGTAATCCTCACCCAAGGATATTTTTCCCCCCATTGATTTTTAGAGAGAGTGGAAGGGAGAGGGAGAGACAGAAACATTGACCTGAGAAAGACACATCGATTGGTTGTCTCCTGCACACACCCCAACCAGGGCCGGGAAACCTGTAACCAAGGTATGTGCTCTTGACTGGAATTGAACACAGGATCCTACAATCTGTGGGCCTATACTCTATCCACTGAGCCAAACTGGCGAGGGCTCCATGGTAGACTTTAAATGCTTTGGGAGGTCAGAGTAGGGAAAGGTACTTTTGTGGGCTGTATAGTCAGTAAAAGTTTAAAGAAAGAGGAAAACTAGTTTATTCCTGAAGGATGGTTAGGCTTTAGACAATAACAAAACAACAGCAGCAGCAGATGGCATGAGAACAGCCATTAACATTTATTGAGCACTCATTTACTGCGTGTTAATTAATTTGATCCTCATGACAATCCTAAAAGGCAAGCACTAACATTATCCCCATTTACTTTTTTGTTAATCCTCACTCGATATTTTTCCATTGATTTTTTTAGACAGAGTGGAAGGGAGGGGGAGAGAGAAAGAGAGAAACATCAATGTGAGAGAGACACATCCATTGGTTGCCTTCAGCATGCACCCTGATCAGCACTAGGGATTGAGCCTGCAACCGAGGTACATGCCCTTGACTGGAATCTGGGGTCTTTTACTAGTCCTTGGGCCAATGCTCTATCCACTGAGTCAAATTGTCTAGGGCAACCCTTATTATAAAAAATATGTTTTTATTGATTTCTAAGAGAGGAAGAAAGAGGGAAAGACAGATAGAAATATTAATGAGAGAGAATAATTGATTGGCTGCCTCCCTCATGTCTCCTACTGGGGACCAAGCCTGAAACCCGGGCATGTGCTCTGACGGGGAATTGAACGGGCGACCTCCTAGTGCATGGGTCGATGCTCAACCACTGAGGCACATTATCCCCATTTTTAGATGAGAAAACTGAGACACTGTAGCATTGAAGGCTTTTAATACCCGATTTACATTCTTAAATAAAATCTATGCTCAAAGCAAGACCCAGTTTCCCACTTAAAATGAATTAGAACTATGGAATTTAAGAGCTTTCTCTTCTACAGAGTTCCTCCCGGATAATTTCTGAGCCTTTTCTTTACAGCAATAACATTTTAATTGCTCACCGTGTTTGAAGGCTCTTAATTCTACACAACATGTCCAGGTGACCAGCAGAATATTGTTCAATTACATCTTTCACATCGTATGGGCGTAACGTTTCTTTAAACTTCCGTTTTGCAACATGAAATTTCATTATTCTGTAAGAGCAACAGATCACACATTGTAAAGTAAGTTACAAAAATAGCATAGAAGTAAAATGTAAGAAACTCTGGGGGGAAAAAGTCATGCACCAAATTATTTTAGACTCCTATGAAAATGCAATATGAAAGCCTGAGATTACAGTGGATAATTTCAGAATGTCCCATATGGGGCAAACCACTTTTAGTAGAAAACACATACTAAAAAGAGATTGTTTCTGAAGTGCTGCATCTTTTTATTGTACCTTTTTAATGTTCATTGAAACCCTGATTTGAAATTAAGGTAAAAAATGCAATTCTCCCTTTTCTATGTGATCCCCAGAAGTCCAAGATATAGCACCTACTGATTGCATCCCTTATGAAAAATAAAAATGGTTAAAATGTTCTTTTTATGTAATGATATTCATTTAAAAAGTATATTTTAATTCATTTCAGAGAGGAAGGGAAAGGGAGAGAGAGATATAAACATCAATAATGAGAGAGGATCATTGATAAGCTACCTTCTGTATGCCCCCTACTGGGGATGGAGCCCACAATCTGGGCACGTGCCCCGACAGGAAAGTGAATTTGTGGCCTCTTGGTGTATCGGATGATGCTCAACCAAGTGAACCACACTGGTCAGGGCATGAGATTTTTTCATTTTATTACTATGCCTCCCCCATGTTTTAAAACAATATTTTATCAATGCATTCCAAGATGCCATAAATAGCTAAGCTGCCTAAGATAACCAGTGCTTGCATAACTTGGTATAATTCCCGAAGAAAGCAAAGAAACAATGGTTGAATGAGTCTGTGCAGCAGTAGTGCAGGTAAATGTTCGTGTTTTTTCAACTATTAAGTGGTTCATAAACTTCCATTATCACATTCAGGCCAGGAATCAATCCACAAGGCTCTATGAACCAAAATTTATTCTCCCTTGGTGGAAAGAGGGAAGATTAGGAACAAATGAGTTTAAACAGAAAATCCTCATTACCAATCCAGCCTAATAGCCAACTGCAAAGAATCCAAATTACTTTATTGGTTAAAAAGCTCCCAACTCTCTGGTAATTGTATTAACTTCAAATTAATTGTACCCTAATTAATCCTGAATCATTTATCTATTATACATATATAAATGTAAACCTTAAATTCAGGTTTAACTGACATACTATATTAGTTTCAGGTGTGTAACAGAATGATTTGATATTTAAGTATACTGTTTTACAAAATTATCGCCACAGTGAGTCCCCTTACATAATATCCATAAGAATATGGACATCCAAGAATATCCATTAATATTCTTTCTCTGCCTACCATATCTTCTCCACCAATCTCTTCTTTAGTTAGGATAGGTTTTTGCTCACAAAGACATCATTTAAACAATGTGATCAGGAGAAAGTAAAGAAAATCTGTTTTTAATGTAACCTCTTAGTATTTAGCTTTGGTTCACAAATGTGTTTACCAGCATTTAGGTTTGATTGGGCCTCAGCTATGGTAAGAATATTTATACCATGGAAATCAGCGAACACCACAAACCAGGCATTGATTGAAGCATTTACCAGGGAATCACTGAGTGTATAAGCCATCTCACCTAGCAAGACTGGTGTTTTCTATGACGGAGATCAAATAGATTTTCTGGCTTTGTCGTGGGTTGAAAAGAAAAACATTAAAGAGATCTGAGGTGAGATATGAGAATTCTAAATCAGGTCATATATTTTATAAATGTGGAGGAAATGTTTAAAAGCATAAGTATATTTGCCTCCTTTCCATCTGCACTACTGCAGGCTTAGAAAGAATAACCCTTTCAAATGCTGAGATGATCATATTAACCTCCCTCCCCCTCCCGCCTTTATTGGTTTTCCGTGCCTGTCGGGTAAACATCACATTCCTTAGCACATCCTATAAGACTGTTTTTGGACACCTCTGTCTATCTTTTCGCCTCATCTACTCTCACTTCGTCCTTGGAACTTGAGGTTCCAGCAACAATAAGATATTTGTAGGTTCACAAAAACACCATTAATTCAAATATATACATCAATTATTTGCATACGCTATTTCTTCTTTCTGAAACCCTCCGATATCTTTGACTCAGCTCTAACATCACTTTTTAATGGAAATTTCTATAATTTTCCCAAAGCAGTTCATCAGTTGCCTGTTAAACTCTATTTTAGTATGTAACACAACACATTATAATTACTTACTAGTATTTGTTTACTAGAAGCCCAGTGCATGGATTTGTGCACCAGTGGGGTTCCTTGGCCTGGCCTGCAAAGATGAGCTGAAACCAGCTCTCTGACATCCCCCAAGGGGTCCTGGATTGCGAGAGGGCACAAGCCAGGCCAAGGGACCCCACCAGTGCACAATCAGGGCCAGGGAGGGACCATGGGAGGGCTCCAGGTTGTGTCTGGCCCAGTCAGGATCATCCAGACCCCAGCAGCAAGCTAATCCATCAGTCGGAGCATCTGCCCCCTGGTGGTCAGTGTGCGTCACCTAGCATAGTAGGGTTTTATTATATGGGATAGATCAGCCTCCTCCACCAGATTCTATGAGGTCCTGGAATGCAGGGCTGTGTTTCCCCACTGTAAAACAATACTTGTAAAACAAAACTGTAAAACAGTTTAATGGGCAGGAGAAGTTTGTTTGCCTAGAAACTCTTCGACGAAGCTCAGTGGGCAACTCAAGAGGGAAGAGGGTAATGGATGGAGAGTGCTCCTGCCTTTTCTCTCCAGGTGCTCATCTCTAGTCATTCCTCTGCTCAAAGGTGCAGTCCAGCCCTCTGGGATTTCTTGTCACAAAACACTCATTTCTCAGCATTCTGTCTTGGCGCTTTACCTAAAACGCTAACTGTTCCAGATTCAATTCAGGCATTGCCTTCTCTAGGTCCCCCTGATGGCCCCACGGTGGATAGATGGTCTTGCTCTGTGCTCTCAAATGTGCTGTCAGTGCGGAATCTGTGGCCTTGCATCTCACCCACTGGATGTACTGATATCAGAGGCTGGGTTTTTACCCTACCACCTCACCAATCTCTGGCCAGTATTAGAGATGCAATACGCGCTTGCTGAAGAAATGATTGAGGCTTAGCTGCCATCAAGCTGTTCAAAGCTGTTTGTGTTCTGTGGCGAGGCACACGCTTGTAGAGATCTTCTAAAAAGGTTGCCTCAGGATAGATTTGAGGTCTTCAGGCACATTTCAGGAACAGTATAAGCCTTTGCCTCTATTTCATGAATACCAAAGTACTTCCTAAAGTAAAAGAAATGTTCGTTCATTCATCAATAGTCAGGACCCTGTCTGGTTTAGAAGAGAGTTATTTAAATAGAACTGCTTCTGAAAAATCATAAAAAATATAATGTTTTTTCCCCATTAGATATCTAATATAAAAGCATTTCACAAAGCCATTAAATCACAACAATAAACTGTCATTATGAGGAAGTAAGGAGAAACACAGAAACATTGAAAGTCAGGAAATAAATCATACTATAATTCAGTAAGTGCCAAATGTGGAGAGAGAGAGAGAATAACAAATGAAACTGTCCAGGGTGAGGAGGAGGAATAGTTTGATGGGACACTAATATGTTGGCCGAATGAATTTTTAGTATCATAAGACCATTAAGAAACAGAGATGAACCCTGGCTGGTTTTGCTTGGTGGTTAGATCATAGGCCTATGAACCTAAGCGTATCAAGTTCAATTTCAGGTCAAGGGCCCATACCTCAGTTGCAGGTTCGATCTCTCCCTCCACCCTCACCCACCCCTGGTCCCAGGCAGTGTACTTGGGAGGCAACCAGTTGATGTGTCTCTTTCACATCAGTGTTTCTCTCTCTCTCTCCCTTCCTCACTCTCTCTCAAAATCAATGAAAAAAAAAATATCCTTGGGTGAGGATAAAAACAAACAAACACAAAACACAGATGAAAATATGCATTGGAAGTCTAAAAACAGTAAAAACTTGTCCTTTTTGTTCCTAAGAGACTACTTTATGTGCTTCCAAAATTCATGTCACTCAAGAGGGAGTGAATGTGAAGCACATCCCTGGGGTTCCCGACCATTTTAGCCATAGTGTGACGATCCTTCTTGAGTGAAGACTCCTTGTCATCATGGCCAGGTGATTTGAGATGTTCATATCATTCAATTCCCTCAGCCTCCCTCTCTCAAGCTAATTGCCCTCTTACCCTCACCCCCACTTCTCCTGAGACAACATGATTTTCATGGTTAAAATCAGAGCGGAAAATGTGAGAGACTAAGCTAAGCCCGAGAAAGCATCTCTGAATAAGTCTTGTTATGCTGGGTCCCTGTAGCATTTCCTCATTTATCGGTTTGTCACTGGGATGTCTAAAACTGCTTCTGTCTGTAGCATGCAATGAACTTGACCTGAGCACCTAGTTCCCATATACTGGACACAATGCTGGGTAGCAGGGATATGAAGATGAGCAAGACACAGATTTTGCCCACGTCGATGTAACATCCAGAGGTCTCTAATAGTGAGGCCCTTGCTGGATGGCTGGTGCTACATTTAAACCTCTAAGAGTTCCCAACCTTTGGTATTTGGGTCAAGTGAAAGCTCAAGAGGTTGAGTAAGCAGTCCAAGGTCACACGACTAGTCAGAGGCAGGTTGTTGCTCATGCCATGGCCTGTGTTTTTACCACTCCACTAAGCTATCATCACAGGGTGGATCCTGACAGGCAACCTGGTAAAGGTTGAGGAAAATGTCTAGGCTTTCTACTGGTCTGACCTGCTATTACCTGTTCTCTCTGACACACTCATGCAGGTAAGTCTGAGTCCATGTTACTCCATTCAACCCAACTCCATCTCCGTGTTCCCAAAGGCAAACTCATTAGTCAACCGAGCCAAATATCAACAGTATAACGATTGACATTTCTTTTGAGAGCAAAATTTTTTAAACTTAACCTTCTTCTAAAGCCACTTCTTCAAAATAGACCAGCCCAGGCCATGGTATTTTGTGGAAGAGCCACACTCAAGGGGCCAAAGAGCTGTGTGTGGATCTCAAGCCGCAGTTTGCCGAGCATA